TCCAGCACTTTGGGGGGCCAAGGCAGGAGGATTAGTTTGATCTAGGAGTTCAAGACCAGCTTAGGCCACATAGTGGCCTTCTCTACAAATAATTTAAAAAATTAGGCATGTTGGCATGCACCTGTAATCCCAGCTACTTGGGAGGCTGAAGTGGGAGGATCGCTTGAGCCCAGGAGTTGAAAGCTGCAGTGAGCTGTGATCTCACCACTGTGCTCCAGTCTTGGTAACAGAGAGACCCAATCTCAGAAGAAAAAAAAAAAGAGAGAGATAAATAGATCCAGCACTAGTGGGAGTATACTTTTGAGTGCTCTTTAGGAGAAAATTATATTTTAATATTTTTTTCTTCCTTAAATTTTTTATATTCTAGCAAACCATTTCTTCCACAAGGAGAAATAAATGTCATCCAAAGAGCCCTAGGAGCAAGGGCAGACTCAGAAAGTCAGAAGCACTGTAGTCATTTTGAGCAGCTTCTATTCGGACTGCTAAGCTGGCAGTGCCAGGCTGGGTCCATTTTTTCTCCTCTTTAATTTCTTAAACTGAAAGAGTCCTGCTAGAATCTGAAGTCAGATCTGTAGGTCAGCATTGAGTCAGCAGTTTGCTATGTTGTGAGGTCTTACCCCAGGAACTACAGAATACAAAATGCAAGAGAAAGCTGGAATAGAGCATCTCTCGGGGAAATGAGAGCCAGAGATACGGCAGTGCCACATGGAGACAGCCAGCTGTTATTTGGCAGTGCCTTGTGGAAAGGCTGTACTTTGGTTAGATCTCCACAATCTGGAATGTGACCTTCAATATTATTAGTCCACAAACTCCAGTTTCTCATTTTTGCTGCATAGGTCAGTGTTGTAGGGAGTGGTTCATCTTAGCAGAATTTCCTGGTTTTCATGGCAGGTGTTCCATTTGTTAATTGACAAAGGAGGCATATTTCTCCTCTGGTACCATAAGAGATTTATGTCCTTTCCCTCGGGACTCCCTTGAAGGTTCTTGGGAAACTAAGCAGAGGATGAGGAAAGGCTGTGAACACGCTTGCTGATCCCTTCCTGTCCTACAAAAGAGCACACCTCTTCTGTAACCGGAAGACCCTTTTCATTAGTCAAGGCTGTACAGACTGAGGGGTGTGTGTGTGTAGACACGGTCTCACTCTGTCACCCAGGCTGGAGTGTAGTGGTGAGATCATTGCTCACAGCAGCTTTTACTTCCTGGGTTCAACTATTCTCCCACTTAAGCCTCCAGGGTAGCTAGGACTATAGGAATGTGCTGCCATACCCAGCTCATGTTTTAATTTTTTTTTTTGTTGTAGAGATGAGGTTTCACTGTGTTGCCAAGGCTGGTCTCAAACTCTTGGCCTCCCGGAATCCTCCTGTCTTAGTCTCCCAGTGGGCTGGGATTATAGATATGAGACACCTCACCTGACCTGTGATGAGTTTTTGACACTGTCATTCCTTTTTAACAGAAGCACTTAAGCTGAAGAGTCCCTTGAGAACAAGTACTATCCTGTGGTTTCATAACCTTTCTTCCATTTGTGGTTCTTGCCGAGTTAAATTTAAAGTGCATCTTATCAAGATGGACAAACCCAAGTTTTCCAGAGCTGGAATATAGAAAATGGATGGACATATAAATCCCACTCACCCGTAGCCAAGGCATGGAGACCTGAACACACCTGGCCCTAGACATCACATTTCATTGTGAGTAGCTCTGAGATAACACTTCTGGTTGGTAAGTGCCCACTGGCAATAGTTTATGTAACAGCAAGTGAAGGAATCAAGAGTCAACAAAACATTTTCTGTTCCCAATTCTAGCATTAATTTGATTAGGTAATTATTCTATGAATAATTTTCATATGCCACAGTTCTGATCAAATCTCAAGTGAACTGAAAAATTATATTTAAAAGTCAACCTTCTTCTCACTCTGTTGCCCGAGACTGGAGTGCAGTGGTGCAGTTATGGCTCACTGCAGCCTCAACCTCCTGGACTAAAGCAGTCCTTCCTCAGCCTCACAAGTAGCTGGGACTACAGATGCTTGCATGGATTTTGGTCTACGTGGATATTGGGGAGCTGGAACCAATCTCCCCATATACCAAGGGACAAATTGTATCTGTTCTGTTTTGTTTTGTTTTTGAGACAGACTTGCTCTGTTGCCTAGGCTGGAGTGCAATGGCACAATCTCAGCTCACTGCAACCTCCACCTCCCAGGGTTAAGAGTAGGCTAAGATTACAGGTACCTGCTATCATGCTGAGCTAATTTTTGTATTTTTGTAGAGACAGGGTTTTATTATGTTGGCCAGACTGGTCTTGAGCTCCTGACTTCAGGTGATCTACCTGGCCTCAACCTCCCAAAGTGCTGGGATTACAGCTGTGAGTCACTGTGCTGGGCCTTTTTTTTTTTTTTCAGAGTGGAGCTTTGCACTTTCTCCCAGGCTGGAGAGCAATGGTACACTCTCAGCTCACCACAACCTCCACCTCCCAGGTTCAAGTGATTCTCCTGCCTCAGCTTCCAGAGTAGCTAGGGTTACAGGCACCACCGCACCTAATTTTGTATTTTTTAGTAGAGATGGGGTTTCTCCATGTTAGGTCAGGCTAGTCTTGAACCCCTGACCTTAGGTGATCCACCTGCCTTGGCCTCCCAAAGTGCTGAGATTACAAGTGTGAGCCACCGCACCCAGCCTCTATCTGTTTTTACAGTTATGCTGTTAAATACATGATGTTCCAAGACAGTGGTAAATTTTTAATGACCATTTTTAATTGAGTGGAATTACCATAAAAATAATAAAAGTAGCAGCTAATATTTACTGAGCTGTTACTAGGTACCTATAAATACCATAGATTTTTAAATTCCCCATAACTCTTCCTGATTTCGCTTAACCGCTCTATCTGAAATTACTCATGCTTGCTTCAGTAGCACATATCCTAAAGCCGGAATAATAGAGAGATTGGCATGGCCTCTGCAAGAATGACGTGCAGATTTGTGAAGTGTTACGTATGTTTTTAAAACGGAAAAATATTACTCTTAGATTTACTGTGTTTGTGCATATGACCTTTTGTTTAGGTTGAATTGTATCCGAAGATGATATTTCCAGCCAGAAATGAGATGACTGTGAGTCACAGGACATTAGCATTCTTGTTATACTTGGTGTAAACTGCCGAGCTTTCAGGCATGGTGGCTGTCGGCCTATAATTCCAGCACTTTGGGAGGCTGAGGTGGGAGGATCGCTTGAGGCCAGGAGTTGGAGGAGGCAGTACAGTGAGTCACTGTATTCTTTTTCAAAAATTTCCAAGCTTTACCCTGGTGGAAGGCTTGTATACAATTTAAACATCACTAATAGTAAAAGAAAATGCCCATTTCACTGCACCTTTGCTGGCACAGGGTACAATAACAAGTTATTTTTTGTTTGATCATTTTTAGTAAATAAAAGATATCATTAATACTTTATTTTTGTTACATTTGAATATATATTTCCTTATATTACTTTATTAGCTTTCTTTTTCTCTCTTTCTTTCTTTTTCAGATGAAGTTTCACTCTTGTTGCCTAGGCTGGAGTGCAACGGCACAATCTCTGCTGACTGCAACCTCCTTCTCTTGGATTCAAGCCATTTTCTTGCCTCAGTCTGCAGAATAGCTGGAATTACAGGCATGTGCCACCATACCTGGCTAAGTATTTTCAATAGAGACAGGGTTTCTCCATGTTTGTCAGGCTGGTCTCGAACTTTGTACCTCGTGATCCAACTGACTCAGCCTCCCAAAATGCTGGGATTAGAGCGTGCCCAGCTAGCTTTCTTTTTTGCTCCCCCTCCTTTTTTGGGAGACCAAGTCTCACTCTGTAGCCCAGGCTTGAGTATGGTGGTACAGTCTCGACTCACTGCAGCCTTGACCTCCTGGACTCAGGTGATCCTTCCACCTCAGTAACTGGGACTGTAGGCCCATGCCACCATGTCTGGCTAATTTTTTTGATTTTTAATAGAAACAAGGTCTTGCTATGTTTCCCAGTCTGGTCTGGAATTCCTGGCCTCAAGCAGTTCTCCCACCGCCCCCTCCCAAAGTGCTGCTATTATAAGCATCAGCCACCAAGGTTGGGCTGTCCATGTCTTTTCTGTTTATTTGTAGAGTTAACATGTCTTTTACTAATTAGATGATCTCTATATTTAATCTTTTATTAAATTATAAAAATAGTAAATACTTTTAAATGAAGAAGTGGAAATTTTCCTTTACTCTTTAGACCCATAATCTTGTCTCAGGAAATAATTGGCCGTATTGTTCAAATACATATGGGCTGATTGAATATCGCTTCTCATTTTCATGTTTTGTGGACATCTGTGTCAATTTCTATTGATGTATCTGAATCCTTTTCATGGTTGCATAATGTTTTAGTATATGGATATATCACAAATAGCCATTTAGGCTCCTTCTAATATTTGCTTTGAGCTCTTTATGTCATGAAAAATTAACCTCCTCAGCAGGTGTGGCAGCTCACACCTGTCATCCCAGCACTTTGGAAGGCTGAGGTGGGAGAACTGCTTGAGGGAAAAGGATTACCACCAGCCTCGTCGACATAGCAGCACATTGTCTCTAATAAAAATTAAAGATAACGTGAGCTGGACATTGCAGTTTACACCTGTAATCCCAGCTACTGGGGAGTCTGAGACTGGAGGATCACTTGAGCCTAGGAGGTCGAGGCTGCAGTAAGCTATGATCACACAACTGCATTCCAGCTTTGGTAACAGTAAGAATGTGTTTCTTCAATAAAATAAAAATCAGGTTGGAAGATTGCTGAAGTCCTGGAGGTTGAGGCTGCAATGAGCTGTGATTGTACCACTGCGGTCCAGCCTAGGGGATAGAGCAAGATTCTTTCTCAAAAAAGTAAAATAGAATAAAAATAAACCCTTTAGCATATTTCCCAGTAACACTTTCCCTCTTACGTTTTTCCTAGAAGCTCTTGAATTTTGTTTGCTTTTCACATATCTTTTAAAACTTTTATGGGATTTCCTGATTCTTTCTTTTATTTTTAAAGAATATCTGTTTGTCACTTCCGGCTGGATCTACCATGAAAGACATCAGAGTTCAGGAGGAGACTTGGCATCATGTTATTCAGGTACAAAAAGACTCGGACAATAACTCAACAATGATCAAACAATAGTGCATGCGTCAAGTGCAATGGGAAGCTTTTCTGGAGAGTGGGAGAAGCTTCCAGATAAGGTGACAGTGAAGCTGGCTTTTGAAAGATGAGGAAGAGTTGTGTGAGAGTAGGGAGCGAAGGGGGATGTGGAGGGATGGGGAATGGTCAGGGAAACCAGCAGTTCAAAGACCTGGACAATTAAGATGGCACATTTGGTTCAGGGAATAGGGAATTAAGTGTGGCAGGAATGCTTTGGAGAGACAGTAATTGGCTTGTATGGAATTTTGCCTGAGAGACCTCACTACAGTTTCTAATCTGGTGATGTTATCATCCATCTCTGTTTCTGTCAGATAGTTTGGAATAGGTGTGATGATCACAGTAACATCAAGCATAATATTTCGTGAATTCTCACAAAATTCCAGGCAGGTACCAGTTATCCCCATTTTCTGAATGAGGTGATAAAGACTTAGGGATAATGAGTGATTTGCCCAAGCTCACATGGATATTGAGCTGAGTCAGATGTAGGGACTGGTTTGACTTTAATGCTTGCTCTGTTCATGAGCACCATGTATTGCTTCTCCTATGCAGTTAGGCAGGTAGGTGAAAGAAAAGTCCATGTTTCTCTCGTCACACACTTTGACTGACTGTGTGTGTGGAGCTTATACACCAAATTCTCCAGTGTTCTGGATATTAACTGGGTATCCCACAATGTTGTTCTGACACTACCTGGAGCTGGCGCAGACCCTGCAGGTTAGGCGTTTAGTCCCGTGAGACTACCCTCACTTTAGATGCCAATGGCAAGTATTAGGTTTTGTCCTGTACTTTTGACCAACCTATTACAAATCAGGGGTTCTCATGACCCCCTTCTTTGATTTAATCATATGCTGGAACAGCTTATAGAACTCAGAAAAATAGTTTATTATTTTTTTTTCTGAGAGACAGGGTCTCATTTTTTTGCCCAGGCTGGTGTGCAGTGTTGCAGTCATAGCTCACTGCAGCCTCAACTGCCTGGGCCCAAGTGGTCCTCCTCCCTTCCTAGTAGCTGAGACGACATGCCTGCACCACCACATCTGGCTAATTTCTTTTATTTTTTTTTTAGCGATGGGATCTTGTTTTGTTGCCCAGGCTGGCCACAAATTCCTGGGCCCAAGTGATCTTCCCACCTTAGTCACTTAAAGTGCTGGGATTACAGATGTGAGCCACCACATCTGGTGAGTTCATTTTCTATTCCTGGTTCACTGTAAAGGATATGTCTCAGAAACAGCCAGTGAAAGAGATGTGCATGCTGGATGCAGTGGCTCATGCCTGTGATCCCAGCGCTTCGGGAGGTTGAGTTGGGAGGATCGCTTAAATGCAGGAGTTTGAGTTCAGCCTGGGAAACATGGTGAAACCCTCTCTCTATAAAATACAAAAATTAGCTGGGCATGTTGATATGTACCTGCAATCCCAGCTACTGAGGAGGCTGAGGCAGGAGAATCACTTGAACCCAGTATGCAGTGGTCGCAGTGAGCTGAGATCACGCTACCGCACTCCAGCCTGGGCTGCTGAGCAAGATTTTTTCTCAAAAAATAAATGAATATAAATAAATAACTAGGTGTGGTGGTGTGCACGTGTTGTTCCAGCTACTAGGGAAGCTGAGGTGAGGATGCATTGAGCTGGGGACTGGGGAATCGTAGGTTGTGGTGAGCTGAAATTGTGCCACTGCACTCTAGCCTGGACAAAAGAGCCAGACCCTGTCTTTAAAAAAAAAGAAAGAGGAGAACGAAAGGAAGGAAAGGGAGAAAGAAATGAAAGATGGATGCCCAGGGGAAGGTAAGTGGGAGGTGCACAGAGCTTCCATGCCCTCTGTTCAACATGCCGCCCTCCCAGCACCACCTGTATTCAACCAGAAGCTCTGCAAACCCTGTTGTTCAGGGTGTTTACAGAGGCTCGATTATGCAAGCCTGATGGATAAAATCTTTGGCCATTGATAATTAAGTCAATCTTCAGCCACTCTCACCTCCTGGAGTTCGGCAGGTGAGGCTAAAAGTTCTAAGCCTCTAATCATGTGGTTGCTTTCTCTGGCAATCAGCCTTCCTCCTGAAGAAATCCAGGAGTGTGCACCCACCCAGTCATCTCAACCACATCCCCAAATGCATTCTTAGCATGCTGGAGATCCCAAAGTTCTTAGAGTCTCTTGTGTTAGAAAGCTGGGATCAAGAGCAAATATTAAAACTAAAGATGCTCCTATCACCTCTACCACTGAGGTCTTTATTAGCATTCAATAATAAAGGGAAAGGAACCAGGGACAGAGAAGAAATTATTTATTTTCTTTTTTTTTGAGACAGAATCTCCCTGTGTCATCCTGGCAGGAGCACAGTAATATGATCATAGCTCATGATAGCTTTGACCTCCTGAGCTCAAGTGATCTTCCCACCTCAGACATCAGAGTAGCTGGGACTACACATGCATGTCACCCATGCCCAGCTCATTTTTGTAAAGATTAGATTTAGTCATGTTGCCCAGGCTGATCTGAAACTCCTGGGCTAAAGCCATTATTTCACATCAGCCTCTCAAGTAGCTGGGACTGCAGGCGCACACCACCATGTCGGGCTGATAATGATTTTTATGCTTTCATAGAGGTGGGATTTCACTCTGTTTTCCAGGCTAGTTTCAAACTCCAGGCCTTAAATGTTCCTCCTGCCTTGACTTCCCAAAGTGTTGGGGTAATGGGTGGGATCCACCATGCCCAGCAGTCAGAAAGATCCTTATAAAAGAAAGAGGTTAGAAGAGTGAGAATTGGAGCAGGAGATGTGTTGGTGGAAGCAGAGTTAGAGAGGGAGATTTGCAGATGTTTCACTTCTGGCTTTGAAGTTGGAGTTAAGGGCCACGATCCAAGGAATGGGGGTGGCTTCTAGAAGCTGGAAAAGCCAAGGGAACACTTTAGAGCCTCCAGAAGGAATGCAGCCCTGCTGACACCTTAACTTTAGCCTTAATAGACCTAATTTGGGCTTCTGATTCCCAGAAGTGTAAGTTGGTAGATTTGTGGTATTTTAAGGGACTATTGTAGGGTAGTTTGTGGCAGCAGCAAGAGGAAATAAACATGACGCCAAGCATCGTGGCTGATGTTGGTAATCCCAGCACTTTAGGAATCCCGGCAGGAGGATCACTTGAGGCCAGGAGTCCAAGGTCAGCCTGGGCAACATAGTGAGACCCTGTCTCTACAAAACATTAAAAGGACCGGGTGTGGTGGCTCACTCCTGTAATCCTAACACTTTGGGAGGCCAAGGATCACCTGAGGTCAGGAGTTTGAGACCAGCCTGGCCAACATGACAAACCCCCATCTCTACTAAAAATACAAAAATTAGCCAGGCATAGTGGCACACACCTGTGATCCCAGCTACTTGGGAGGCTGAGGCTGAGGAACCACTTGAACCTGGGAGGCGGAGGTTGCAGTGAGCTGGGATTGCACCATTGCACTCCAGCTTGGGCAAGAAGAGTGAAACTCCATTTCAAAATAAAACAAATTAGCCAGGCACGATGGCATGCACCTGTCGTTCCAGCTACTAGGGAGTCTTGAGGTGGGAGGATCAGTTGAGCCTAGGAATTTGAGGTTGCAGCGAGCTGTGATTGCACCACTCCGCTCCAGCCTTGGTGATAGAGTGAGATCTTGTTTTTTTTTAAAAAAAAAAAAACGGGAATGGGGACAGATTGCAATGTTAAATAGAAAGGTCAGGGGTGGCCTCCTAAGTGAAAATTGAGCAAAGACTTGGAGGGGAAGGAGCTGGCCGAGGTGCTGAAGGAGGAGCATTGTGGGCAGAAACAACAGAATAAAGAGTCTGAGGCTCTGGAAGGAGGCCAGTGGAGCAGGAGACGGGGAGAGGATTAGCGGAGGAGGCCATGGAGTTGCTGTGTGGGGATCAGTATAGCTGGTGTAAGCCCTGGGAGGTTATTGCTGGGGCTTTGGCTTTTACTATGAGATGGGAACTGTGGGAGGGTTCTGAGCAGAGAGGTGACATGATCTGTCTCCTGATATAAAAGCATTCTCTGGCTGCTGAGTTGAGAAAGACTGTGGGAAGATTTGGTTGGAAGCATGGGGGTCAAACTGTGGTAACATCCAGGTGGAAGATGATAGTGGTCCTGACCAGGGTCATGGTGTTGGTGAGAGATGGTCAGAGGAGAGTAGGGGAAGAGTCCAGGGAGTTGCTGGGTGGGGATCTTCAGTACATGGTGAAGACAGTGAACAGGATTTCCTGACAGACTGGATGTGGGGTGTGAGAGAAGGCAGGGGTCGAGGTTGAGTTTGATTCTTATTGAATTATTAAGTAATTTTTAAAAACTCTACTGCCTTTCCCAGTGTTACCAAATGTGGGATGCTAGATTAAAGAAATCTCTTCAGGCTCAATGCAGTGGCTCATGCCTGTAGTCCCAGATGTTTGGGAAGCAGAGATGGGAGTATCTTTTCAGGACAGAAGTTCAAGACCAGCCTGGGCAACGTAGCAAGACCTCCTCGCTACAAAAATATTTTTCAAAATTTAATAAAATAAATGTAGCTAGGCATGGTGATGTGTACTTGTAGTCTCAGCTACTCAGGAGGCTGAGGTGGGCAGATGTCTTGAGGTCAGGAGTTTGAGGCCAGCTTGGGCAACATAGCAAGACTCCTCACTCTACAAAAAAAATTAAAAATTAGCCAGGTATGGTGGCACTCAACTGTAGTACCAGCACTGGGGAGCAGAGGCAGGAAGATGGATTGAGCCCAGGACACTGAGGCTGCAGTGATCTATAAGTGCACAACGGCACTCCAGCCTGGGTGGCAAAGCGGGACCTTGTCTCACAATACAAATAAAGTGATGAAATCTCAAATCAGAGCCTTTTGGCTCTGCAGCCCTTGCAACCCTGGAGCCATGCAGTGGGGTTTTTATCACTGGGAATGAGGAGACCCCTTCCCAGTGTTGTTGCCTGACTAATCAGTGTTTTAAAAAATATGTTAATCGGTCCGGGTGCAGTGACTTAGGCCTGCATTCCCAACACTTTGGGAGAATGAGGTGGGTGGATCACGTGAAGTCAGGAGTTCAAGACCAGCTTTGCCAACATGGCAAAACCGTATCTCTACTAAAAAACAAAGATTACTTTGGGAGGCCGAGGCGGATGGATCACAAGGTCAAAAGATCGTGACCATCCTGGTCAACAAGGTGAAACCCTGTCTCTACTAAAAATACAAAAAATTAGCTGGGTATGGTGGCACGTGCCTGTAATCCCAGTTGCTCAGGAGGCTGAGGCAGAACTGCCTGAACCCAGGAGGCGAGGTTGCGGTGAGCCGAGAAGGCGCCATTGCACTCCAGCCTGGGTAACAAGAGCAAAACTCCGTCAAAAAAAAAAAGAAAGAAAGAAAAGACAAAAAAACAAAGATTAGCCAGGCATGGTGGCAGGTGCCTGTAATCCAAGCTACTTCAGAGGCTGAGACAGGAGAATCCTTTGAACCGGGAGGTGGGGCAGAGATTGCACTGAACCGAGATTACATGTTTCATTCCAGCCTTCGGGAAAGAGCGAGACTCTGTCTCAGAGAAACAAAAGGATTACTTATATTACTACTTAATCATTTTATTATTGTTTAAGATGGAGTTTTGCTCTTGTTACCTAGGCTAGAGTGCAATGGCATGATCTTCACTCACTGCAAACTCTGCCTCCCGGGTGTAAGCAGTTCTCCTGCCTCAGTCTCTCAAGTAGCTGGGATTACAGGTGCCTGCCACCACACCTGGCTAATTTTGTATTTTTTAGTAGAGACAGGGTTTCAGCATGTTGGAGGGCTAGTCTCAAACTCTTGACCTCAGGTGATCCACCCACCTCGGCCTCCCAAAGTGCTGGGGTTATAGGCATGAGCCATCTCGCCCAACCAGTTTTATTATTAATAGGTAATGAATAAAATATTTTAAAATGTTTGTTTTGTATTAGTTATAATAACATGTAACGTTTTTATTATTAATACGTAATAAATAATATTTTTAAAAGTTTGTTTTATTTTTAACTTTAATGTAATTATTTATGTAAAGAAAAAGTCTTAGAAATCTTACATGAAGTTAAAAAATGTAACGGGATGCTAGACCCCAAAAGATTTAGCAGCATTACTCTGAGAACTTCCAGTTTAGAAATATACAGAGTAAGCCACATACAACTTGCTACGTGATCTATTTTTTTTTCTTTTTTGTTTTAGGGTATGGGGTCTCACTCTGTCACCTAGGCTGGAGTGCAGTGGTGCAATCACAGGTCACTGCAGGCTTGCACTCCTGAGCTAAGGATCCTCCTGCCTCAGCCTCCTTAGTAGCTATACATGATGACACCTGGTTAATTTTTAAATGTTTTCATACACATTGGATCTCACTTTGTTGGTCAGGCTGGTGTCAAACTCCTGGCCTCTAGTGACTTTTCCATCCCTGCCTCCCATCCTAGAGGCATGATCCACCACAACGAGCACTTGTTCAATTTTCTAAGAAAATCAAATTTTCTAGAGTAAGCCTGTGGCAGGAAGATAAAAGTAAAAAACAGAAGAATACATTCTAATGATTTATTCCCACATATTCTTTTGAAAGCAAGAACTTTTAGTAGACACATATTTTACAAAGGCAAAGAAACAATGTTTTACAGGTACTTCAACACACACTGTCATGTTCTTACTTCTCTGACATCAGTTCTTTTTTGTATTTTTAGTAGAGATGGGGTTTCACCATGTTGACCAGGATGGTCTCGATCTTCTGACCTCGTGATCCAACTGCCTCAAGTCAAGCTCTACAGGCCCACTTTGAGCCTTCCGACGACCTGGACAGACCCAGCTCTTTCCTCCCAGTGGCCTCTGCAGGCCTAGCTTTTGCCTCACAGGTATTCCTTGAACAGGTTTCTGCTTGCCTCCTGGTAGCCTTGAGAAGCCCAGGTGTTGCCTCACTCTAACCTCATTAGGACCAGGTCACAGTGGCCTCTCCAGACCCAGCATCTGTCCCCTGACAGGCTGTCCAGGCCAAAACGTCTTCTAGTCACCGTCTTCAGGCACAGCTTCTGTCTCACACTGGACTCTTTAGGTACAGCTCATGCCTTTCGGCGGCCCCTTGAGGCCCAGTTCCTGTATCTCTGTGGCCTCTCCGGACTGAGAGATTTCTCAAATCTGCCATTCCAGGTCCAACTCCTGCTTCCAGTCGGCCCCAATAGGCTTAAACTCTGCCTCACAGCAGACACCCCAGGCCAAGCGTATGCCTCACCACAGTGCCCCCAGGCCAAGCTTCTGCCTCGGCAGCATCTGCAGGCCCAGCTACTGCCTCCCAATGGCCTGTCTAGGTGAAGCTCATGCATCACAACGGCCATTCTGATCAAGCTTTTACTTTTTGGCAGCGTCTCCAGGCCCAGAACTTCCTGAAGTGGGCCCTCCCATGCCCAGCATTGGCCTGCTGGCATCCTCTCTGGGCCCAGAACGTCTTCAGGTAGGCCTTTTGGGGCCCAGCTCCTCCTCTCAGCTGTGTCTACGGGCTCAGCTTTTGAATTTGCCTCACAGCAACCTCTGGGGACTCGGTTCCTCCCCAGCTTCTGGTGTCCTTTATAGGCCCGAAAGCTCAGGCTCTCCAGGCCCTCCCAGCTCATGTCTCACGCTGGCCTCTCCAGGCTCGGCTCCTGCCCTCCCAGGGCATCTCCAGGCCTCAGACGTTCCCGAGTCGGCTTCTGCTGGCCCGGCTCCTGCTGCCTCATCATGCTGGCCTCGGGAGGCCCAAGCATTGGGTCCTGAAGTTTATCTCTGCAGGCCCAGCTTCTGCCTTCCCGGCAGCCCCCCAACATGGGCTCCTCCAGGGCAAGCTCCTGCCTCCCAACGGCCACCTGGGACACAGCTCCTGCCTTCTGTCAGCCTCTTCGGGAGGCCCAGCCTCTGCCTCCCTACTGCCGGCCCCCACACACCCGGATCATCATCCTGGCTGCGTCTATCTGCCAATGTTTTGCCCCCTGGCGGCCTCTTTTGACTCGGCGCCTGGCCACCTCCCGACGGCCTCTCGTCTGTCGGCCCGAAGCTTCCTCGGGGATTTCGGGGTGTCCCTTCTGCCTCCCGGTGGCCTAGACAGGCCCAGCTACATCCTGACATCGGCCTCTCCATGCCCACTTCTGGCCTCCCTACAGCACCCCCAGCACCATCCACTGTGTGCCGGCCGCTTTCCCAGGCCAAGATCCTGCCTACCTCCCGACTTCGTCCACAAACCCAGCGCCTCCCTCACACTGGCCAGTTGAGGCCCAGCTTGGCCTGTAGCACATGTCTCTGGACCCAGATCTCACCTGGTGCTGGCCTTGAGTCTGAGCCCAGGTCCTCCCTCGCACCGGCCTTTCTCGGCCCAGCTCGCCTCTCATAAACTCTCCGGCCAGCTCCTGCCTCCCAGCGGCCTGTCCAGGCCCGAAGCTTCCTCTCCGGGCCCAGCCTCTCCAGGCCTGGCTCCTGCCTGCGCTAGGCCCCTCTGGGCCCAGCCTCCACCTAACAGTGGACCCTCCAGACCCAGCTTATGGCCTCATCGTGGTCTGCGCTCAGCCCAGATCCTGCCTCTGTGGCAGCCTGTCTCCACAGGCCCAGCTCCTGGCCTCCTGGTGGCCCCCTCGGGCCAAACCGGTGCCCCCAGGCGGCCCTCTGTGCCTAGCGGTGGCCTTCTGGCATCCTCTCCTTGTCCAGAACGTCAGCCTCTTTGGTCCCAGCCCCTCCTTCTGGCAGCTTGTTAGGGCCAACCTTTTGTCCTCGCCTCGCAGCAACCTCTGTTGCTCGGCTCCTCCCTAGCTCCTGGAGGCCTCTGTAGGACCAAAAGCTCAGGCCCTCGATTCAGGCTTTCCAGGACTACCCAGCTCATGCCTCATGCTGGCCTCTCCAGGCTCAGGTTTTGCCCACCCAGGGTTCCTATAGGCCCCAGATGTCCCAGAGTCGGCTTCTTCAGGCCCGGTTTTGGACTCCTCCTATTGGCTTCTGCAGGCCTAAGCATTGGGTTCTTAATTTGGCCTCTGCAGGCCCAGCTCCAGTTCTACTGGTGTCTCCTCCCCATGGGTGCAAACGTCATCATGTGGTTTCTTCTAGGGCCAGCTCATGCTTCCCAAAGGCCCCCTGGGCTTAGCTCCTGCCTCCCATCAGCCTCTCCTTAAGGCCTAGCATCTGCCTCGGTACTGGTGGCCTCTCAAGGCCTGGATCCTCCTCCTGGCCACGTCTACGGGCCCAAGTTTTGCTCCCGGCAGCCTTTTTTTTTTTTTTTTTTTTTTTTTAAAGAGATGGAGTTTTGCTCTTGTTTCCCAGGTGTGGGTACAATGACGTGATCTCCGTTCACCTCAACCTCCGCCTTTTGGGTTTAGGCAATTCTCCTGCCTCAGCCTCCTGAGTAGCTGGAGTTACAGGCACACGCCACCATACCCAGCTAATTTCTTTTTCTTTTTTTTTTTGAGACAGAGTTTCGCTCTTGTTACCCAGGCTGGAGTAGAATGGTGCGATCTAGGCTCACGGCAACCTCTGCCTCCTGGGTTCAGGCAATTCTCCTGCCTCAGCCTCCTGAGTCGCTGGGATTACAGGCACCTGCCACCGTGCCCAGCTATTTTTTTTTTTTTTTTTTTTGAGACGGAGTTTTGCTCTTGTTGCCCAGGCTGGAGTGCAATGGCGCGATCTCGGCTCACCGCAACCTCCGCCTCCTGGGTTCAGGCAATTCTCCTGCCTCAGCCTGCTGAGTAACTGGGATTACAGGCACGCACCACCGTGGCCAACTAATTGTTTTTTTTCTTTTTGAGATGGAGTTTTGCTCTTGCTGCCCAGGCTGGAGTGCAGTGGCAGGATCTCGGCTCACTGCAACCTCTCCCTTCTCGGTTCAGGCAATTCTCCTGCCTCAGCCTGCTGAGTAGCTGGGATGACAGGCACGCACCACCATGCCCAGCTAATTTTTTGTATTTATAGTAGAGACGGGGTTTCACCATGTTGACCAGGATGGTCTCAATTTCCTGACCTCATGATCCACCCGCCTCGGCCTCCCAACGTGTTGGGATTACAGGCGTGAGCTACTGTGCCTGGTCCCCAGCAGCGTCTTTCGGCTCGGCTCCTGGCCAGCGCCCGGAGGCCTTTTGTCTGTCGGCCCAAAGCTTCCTCAGTGTCCCTTCTGTTGAGGCCACTGGGAGGCAGAAGGGACGCCCGGAAGGCCCCACCTGAGGAAGCTTTGGGCCAACAGACGAAAGGCCTCTGGGAGCTGGCCAGGAGTCGAGCCAAAAGAGGCTGCCAGGGGCAAAACTTGGGCCGGTAGACGTGGCCAGGAGGAGGTGCTAGGCCTGGTGTGGCTGCCAGTAGGGAGGCAGAGGCTGGGGCTCCTGGAGAGGCCACCTGATGGGAATCAGGACCTGGGTTCCAGGGGCCACTGGGATGCCGGAGCTGGCCCCGGAGGGGACCATGTGATGATGTATTGTGCCCAGGTTGGGGGGTGCCGCCGGAAGGGCAGGAGCTGGACCTGCAGACGCAGACTTCATGACCCAATGATTGGGCCTCCCAAGGCCAGTGGGAGGACAAAGCAGGACTGGGCCTCAGGGCCGAGCTTTGGAGTCCCCCCAGCCTCCCCAGCCCCAGCTGCTGCCTGCTGGCTGCTTCCGCAGGCCAAGATCCTGCCTGCCTGCCTGCATCCCGGCTGCATCCACAGGCCCAGCGCCTCCCTCACACTGGCCAGTTGAGGCTCAAGTCATGCCTTTGCCGGACGTCTCTGGAGCCAGCTCTCACTTGGTGCTGGCCTTGAGTCTGGACACAGGCCCTCCCTCGCACCGGCCTCTCTTGGCCCAGCTCACCTCTCATAAATTCTCCGCCAGCTCCTGCCTCCCAGCGGCCTGTCCAGGCCTGAAGCTTCCTCTCTGGGCCCCGCCTATCCAGGCCTGGCTTTTGCCTGTGCTAGGCCCCTCCAGGCCCAGCCTCCACCTCTCAGTGGACCCTCCAGACCCAGCTTGTGGCTTCATTGTGGCCTCCGCTCAGCCCAGCTCCTGCCTCTGTGGCAGCCTGTCTTCACAGGCCCAGCTTGTAGCCTCCCGGTGGCTCCCTTGGGCCAAACTGGTGCCCCCAGGCAGCCCTTCCATGCCCAGCATTGGCCTCCTGGCATCGTCTCCTTGTCAGAGTGTCTTCAGGTCAGCCTCTTGGGGCCCAGGCCCTCCTTCCGGCGGCTTCTAAGGGCCAACCTTCCATTCTCGCCTCGCAGCAACCTCTGTGGACTCGGCTCCTCCCCAGCTCCCGGAGGCCTTTGTAGGCCCGAAAGCTCAGGCCCTCGACTCAGGCTCTCCAAGACTACCCAGGTCATGCCTCACGCTGGCCTCCAGGCTCAGCTTCTGCCCAGCCAGGGTTCCCATAGGCCCCAGATGTCCCAGAGTCGGCTTCTCCAGGCCCGGGTCCAGACTCCTCCTGTTGGCTTCTGCAGGCTCAAGCATTGGGTTCTCAATTCGGCCTCTCCAGGCCCAGCTCCAGTTCTCCTGGCATCTCCTCCCCATGGGTGCAAAACATTGTCACATGGGCCCTTCTAGGGCCAGCTCATGCTTCCCAAAGGCCCCCTGGGCTTAGCTCCTGCCTCCCATCAGCCTCTCCTGGAGCCCCGTCCTCTGCCTCTGTACTGGCGGCCTCTCCAGGCCTGGATCCTCCTCTTGGCCTTGTCTACGGGCCGAAGTTTTGCCCCTGGCAGCCTCTTTTTTTTTTTTCTTTTGAGATGGAGTTTTTCTCTTGTTACCCAGGCGTGAGTGCAGTGACCTGATCTCGGCTCACCTCAACTTTTGCCTCTTGGGTTTAGGCAGTTCTCCTGCCTCAGCCTCCTGAGTAGCTGGGATTACAGGCATGCACCACCATGCCCAGCTAATTTTCTTTTTTTTTTTTTGAGACCTATTTTTGCTCTCGTTACCCAGGCTGGAGTAGAATGGTGTGATCTCGGCTCACCACAACCTCCGCCTTTTGGGCTCAGGCAATTCTCCTTCCTCAGCCTCCTGAGTAGCTGGGATTACAGGCACGTGCCACCGTGCCCAGCTAATTTTTTTTTTTTTTTTTGAGATGGAGTTTTACTCTTGTTGCCCAGGCTGGAGTGCAATGGCACTATCTCGGTTCACCGCAATGTCCGCCTCCTGGGTTCAGGCAATTCTCCTGCCTCAGCCTCCTCAGTAGCTGGGATTACAGGCATGCACCACCATGCCCAGCTAATTTTTTTTTTTTTGAGGTGGAGTTTTGCTCTTATTGCCCAGGCTGGAGTGCAATGGCACAATCTCAGTTCACCACAATGTCCGCCTCCTGGGTTCAGGCAATTCTCCTGCCTCAGCCTCCTGAGCAGCTGGGATTACAGGCACACACCACCATGCCCAGTTAATTTTTTGTACTTTTAGTTGAGACAGGGTTTCACCACGTTGACCAGGATGGTCTCGATCTCCTGACCTCGTGATCCACCCATCTCGGCCTCCCAAAGTGCTGGGATTACAGGCGTGAGCCACTGCACCTGGTCCCCAGCAGCGTCTTTTGGCTCGGCTCCTGGCCATCTCCTGGAGGCCTTTCATCTGTCGGCCCAAAGCTTCCTCAGGTGGCACCTTTCGGGCGTCCCTTCTGCCTCCCAGTGGCCTCAACAGAAGAGACACCTAGAAGGCCCCACCTGAGGAAGCTTCGGGTCGACAGACGAAAGGCCGAGCCAAAAGAGGCTGCCTGGCTCAAAACTTGGGCCGGTTGATGTGGCCAGGAGAAGGTTCAGGCCTGGTGAGGCTGCCAGTAGGGAGGCACAGGCTGGGCCTCCTGGAGTGACAGCCTGATGGGAACAGGACCTGGGCCCCGTGGGGCCACTGGGATGCAGGACCTAGCCTCGGAGGGGACCACGTGATGATGTATTGCACCCACGTTGGGGGGTGCCGCCGGGAGGGCAGGAGCTGGACCTGCAGACGCGGACTTCATGACCCAATGCTTGGGCCTCCCGAGGCCAGCGGGAGGACAAAGCAGGACTGGGCCTCAGGGCCGAGCTCTGGAGTCCCCGCAGCCTCCCCAGCCCCAGCTGCTGCCTGCTGGCTGCTTCCGCAGGCCAAGGTCTTGCCTACCTGCATCCTGGCTGCATCCGCAGGCCCCGTGCCTCCCTCACACTGGCCCGTTGGGGCCCAGCTTGTGCCTGTGGCAAACCTCTCCGGACCCAACTCTCACCTCACACTTGCCTCGAGTCTAGGCCCAGGTCCTCCCTCACAGTGCCCTTCTTCAGCCCAGCTTGCCTATCACGGTCTCTCCTGGGCCAGCTTCTGCCTCACGGTGGCCTGTTCAGGCCCAAAGCTTCTTATCCGAGCCAGGCCTCTTCAGGAGGCCCAAAGCTTCTGCCTGCACCAGGACATTCTGGGCCCAGTCTCCATTTTTCAGTGGACCCTCCAGGCCCAGCTTGTGGCATCACAGTGGCCTCTGCTCAGGCTCAGCTCCTGCCTCTGCGGCAACCTGTATCCACAGGCCCGGTGGCACTCCCGGGCCCAGCGTTTGCCTGGTGGCATCCTCTCTGGGCTTAGAACGTCTTCAGGTAGGCCTCTCGGGGCCCAGCACCTCCTCTCGGCAGCATCTATGGGCCCAACTTCTGAATTTGCCTCACAGCAACCTCTGTGGACTCAGCTCTTGCCCAGCTCCCGATGGCGTTTGTAGGCCCAAAAGCTCAGACTTGACTCAGGCTCTCCCGGCCCACCTGGCTCATGCCTCACAAGTGGCCTCTCCGGGCTTGGCTCCTGCCCTCTGAGGGCATCTCCAGGCCCTAGACATTCCCGAGTCAGCTTCTGCAGGCCCGGCTCCTGCTGCCTCCTCCTGCTGGTCTTGGGAGGCCCAAGCATCGAATCCTGAAGTCAGCCTCTCCAGGCCCAGTTCCTGCCCTCATGGCGTCTCCTTTTCATGGGTGGAAAACATCCTCACATCGGTGCCTCCAGGGCCAGCTGTTGCCTCCCAACGGCCCCCTGGGGCCCAGCTTCTACCTCCCCTCAGCCTCTGGGAGGTCCAGCCTATGCCTCCCTTGTGGCGGCCTCCCCAGGCCCAGATTCTCCACCTGGCCTCATCTACTGGACCACGTCGTGCCTCCCGGCAGCTGCTTTTTGCTCGGCTCCTGATCAGCTTCCAGCAACCTTCTGTAGGCCTGAAGCTTTCTCAAGTGGGGCTTTCTGGGCCTCCGTTCTGCCTCGCGGTGGCCTTGACAGGCCCTGCTACCACCTGACATTGGCCCCTTTTGGCCCAGCTCTGGACTCTCCGCAGCCTCCCCAGCACCAGCTGCTGCCTGCTGATGGCTTCCCCAGACGAAGATCCTGCCTGCCTGCATTCTGGCTGCGTCCACAGGCCCAGCGCTTCCCTCACAGTGGCTCATTGGAGCCCAGCACTTTCCTCACAGTGGCTCATTGGAGCCCAGCATTTTCCTCACAGTGGCTCATTGGAGCCCAGCACTTTCCTCACAGTGGCTCATTGGAGCCCAGCACTTCCCTCACAGTGGCTCGTTGGAGCCCAGTGCTTTTCTTACAGTGGCTCATTGGAGCCCAGTGCTTTTTTTACAGTGGCTCATTGGAGCCCAGCGCTTCCCTCACAGTGGCTCATTGGAGCCCAGCGCTTCCCTCACAGTGGCTCATTGGGGCCCAGCTCATGCCTGTGGCAAACCTCTCCAGACCCAGCTCTCGTCTCACTTTTGCCTTGAGTCTAGGCCCAGGCGCTCCCTCGCAGGGGTCTTCCTCAGCCCAGCTTGCCTATCAGACTCTCCCGGGCCAGCTCCTGCCTCCCGGTGTCCTGTCCAGGCCCAAAGCTTCCTTTCCGTGCCCGGCCTCCCCAGGCCCAGCTTCTGCCTGCGCCAGGCCCATACCGGGCCCAGCCTGTGACTTTCATTGGACCCTCCAGGCCCAGCTTGTGGCATCACTGTGGCCTCTGCTTAGGCCCAGCACCTGCCTGTGGCAGCCTGTATCCACAGGCCCCACCCCCAGCCTTCCTGTGGCCCCATGGGGCCAAGCTGATGCCTCCCGACGGCCCTCCCGGGCCCAGCATTTGCCTGCTGGTATCCTCTCTTGGCCCAGAACGTCTTCAGGTAGGTGTTTTGGGGCCCAGCTCCTCCTCTCTGCCATGTCTATGGGCTCAACTTTTGAATTTTCCTTGCAGCAACCTCTGGGGACTCAGTTCCTCCCCAGCCCCTGGCAGCCTTTATAGGCCCGAAAGCTCAGGCCCTCTGTCTGATCACAGCTCAAATGGGGGAAAAGGAACTAATGTTCTCAGGCTCTGGTCACCTAATTCCTGCCCTCCTTTGCAGGGTGGGTCCCAGGGATACCACCGACACTGGCTGTTTGTTCACTTGCTAGCACCACCTGGCAGGTTCCTCCCTGGGGCAGACTGATTCAGGTGCTTCCCTTTTCTGGTTTCCTGGCTTCAAGCCGGCGCTCTGCAGCTTCACAGTGAAGCTCAGCCGACAGTACAGAGAGCTCAGGGACCAAGAGGCTGGACAGTGCCAATGGTGGTTGAGGGTCCTGGCCTGAGTACAAGGACCATTTCATGATTATTGTTGCCATCACAAAGAGCAGTGTCCATCCCATAGCACAGCCTCAGCTCCTCTTTTTTTTGCTGTGTCCCAGGCCTTAGAGGGGCTGCCATCCTCAGGGCCGACAGCTCTACAGCTTTACCTGCTTGTGTGTAGAACAGCTTTACAGAGGTTAGGACACAGCTCAGGGTCACACTGCAAACGATTAAGCCACGGTCCACCCTAGACCTGGTGCCTCCAGAGCCTCGGTTCTCTTCATGCTGAAATCCCTACTGGACTTCCTGGCAATTTCTAGCTCCTCTGCAAGGAGTGAGCTCTGGGTCCCAGCCTTTGCCCTTGGTCCCATCACAGCCCCCAGCCATCTCCCCATGGCAGCCCTTCATCAGACACAAGCTACAACCCTCCACAGAGGACGGTCTTGCCAGCCCCCAGGAGAGATGCTGACCCTGGTTGACTGTGACCATGATTGGTGTCCAGAGGCACTGGCAGCAGAAACGTCAAGCTGCCATCAAGAGTAATGGGCTTGTTTCCCTGTGGGCACTGGCGAGCCAGCTGGCCTTGGTGCCCATGCTGGCCAGTGGAAATTGTCCCCTCCAATAGTAAGAAGTGGAGACCCAGCCTCTGAACTCACAGGGGCCCCTGCCTGACTGGCCGCCTCCCTCTCTGCAGCTGTGGCATGAAGCTGAACGTGGACTACCTGCTGGAGATGCTTTGGGAGTACTTGGTCCTGACCTGCATCTACACCAGGAAGAGAGGATGTGAGTTACACTGCATGTAGCTGAGAAACAGGCTGAGCTTCATCCTCCCTAAAAGGCTGCCAGGCCTGTGGGAGGTGCCCAGAGATCCCGGCACCAGCTGTGGCCTGGCTTATTTAGACACATCTCAGCTCTTTTCCCTTCTCAGCACTGGGCACTGCTGGTTTTGAGGGTGCCCTGGTGGGGCAAGGCTACCTCATGGTCCTCACTGGCTGCAGCAGTTAGTGCCATCCTGACCTCTCCTCACAGTGACAGACCCCACCGCAGGAGCATTAGTGACCTGAATCCACAAGAGCCCTCCCCATGTCTGACCCCCACCCATCCTCCTGATTGCTGCACACACACATATGCCCTGGGGTCCCAGCTGCTGAATTCGGAGCACTTTGCATCAACCCTGACCTTGGCAGCAAGGAGCGAGCTAGTTTCCCTCACGAGACTCCAACACCCCTTTGGGTCCTGCCCGTTGAGTCTAGATCCTGGTCTCTGTCAGTGCTGTCACAGCAGATGGATGGCAGGCAGTGTGATCCTGGACTTTGATTTATTTTGAGTCACTGTGTTCAAGTAAGTGTTGTAGAAGATGGCACAGGGATATATGCGGAGGGCGTGCTGGATATTGGGGACATTAGGCCAAGGCAAGGAGACTGAAAGGGCCTCTGCAGCCATCTCTTCCCTCGGGCAGAATCATGAGGTGGCAGTGTGGGTTTTCGTGTGTGGTTGACGCTCTCCCCATCTCGCCCTGCAGAGAGGCCGGACTTCACAGATGCCATCATCCTCCGGAAAGGGGCCTCAGTGGAGCACGTGGTGAGTTGACAAGACCTGCCCTAACAAGGGGCGGGAGCTCTGTATGCCCCTTGGAGCGCTGTTCTGCCTGAGGTGCCCTGGGCCAGGGGTGGGCTCTGCTGGTCTCAATCTCAGATGATGACACTCAGGCTCTGGAGTTGGACAGTCTGAGGCTGCGTCTGCAGTACCGCTTCCTAGCCATGTGCTGTGCCTCCAACCTCTCCTTTGAGGTGGGATGTGCTGCCTGCCCCCCTGGGTCGTCAGGAAGACACGTTGGATGAAGTCCAGCATGTAGGGCACTCAGCACACTGCCTGTAGTGCATAGATGCCAGTAACCCTGCTCCCATGCCCTTCAGGCATCATCCAAGGAGTGGGGAGTGGCGCTGGCTCAACACAGAAGTCAGGACAGGTTTCAAGGAGGCCACCTGAGCTGGCTTGTAGAACTAGCAGGTCTGGCAGTGAGGAGTTGGGGTGGGGAGCATCCCAGATAGGGGAGCAGGCATGCACAGGCCCCAGAGGAGGTGCTATTGGCTCAGGGAGCACGAGGCTGCCTTTCTCTGTCCAGAATTCTGTCACCTGAACATGACCCTGCAGGCACCGGTGGTGGCCAAGTGTTGGGTCACATGGCTGTGCTTCTGGGCTGTTGCTTTCCCAGGTGTTGTTTTCCTCAAGCTGATTTCTTCTTGGGATCTGTATCATGGAAGCAAGAGACACTGTTCCTCTAGCCCCTTATGATAGTGGTGGCTGGGCTTGCAATCTGGTCTCATGCATTCATTCCTTCTGAAAGCCCAGCCCCAGGTCTCTGGGTGCCACCCTGGAGGTGTTGAACAAATGAGGCCACGCAAAGTCCCATCTCTCTAAGACCTAGGCTTGAGATCACAGCAGGAGGAGCCAAGAAGACTCACGATTACCCTCCTGAATCCCTTCAGACACTCCCAAGTGGCAAGCTGAGTAAAATGTAAGACCCATTTGCAGGCCCGAATCAGCGACCTTCCCATCTCTGTCAGGGAAGTGGACCTGCAGGCCTGGCGCCGCCTCTGCCCCCGGGACACTGGGCTGAGGCGTTTTGTCTCCCACTGGGGCCTAGAAGTCTTGTGGGCATGTAGGGGGAGGAGCCGCATCGCACAATTGCAGAGTCCCTTCCCTGCCGCCCTCCACTGTCCCACCATCAGTGTGGCAACCAGAGGTCCACACTCAGGGCAAATGCTGGCTGCCCCTCCAGGGTCTCTTTCCAATTTCACATGACCTCTGGGACCCCTGTGACCTTCATCCCTACCAAGAAGCACTGGAGGGTGTATGCTGCTCTGGGAGTTGGGGGTGATGTGATATGTGGGAGGCTTCAGGTCACAGGTGGGGCCAGGAGGAGTGAGAGACAGTGCGGTCAAGCTTGAGATGGGGTTAAGTGGAGTCTCACCTCTGTCTCCTGTCCTCCAGTGCCCCGGCATCCACCAGTCACTCACCAGCGAGTTCAAGTATGCCCTGGTGTGGGTAAGTGTCTGGGTGGGAGGCAGGCAGGGGGTTAGACCCAGCAGAGCCCCCGGATTAGGCATAGAGCAAGGCATTCACATTCCTCTGCATGGTGTTCCTGTTTTTCCTGTGGGGATTGGCATGACCGTGTGTCTGTCCTCCATAGAATGTATGTGTTCACCCAGGCTGGACACGGGCCTTCCCCACCCTTTTTCTTTTTTTTTTTTTCTTTGAGACGGGGTCTGGCTCTGTCTCCCAGGCTGGAGTGCAGTAGCACAATCGCGACTCACTGCATCCTTGACATCCTGTGCTCAAGCAATCCTCCCACCTCAGCGTCACAAGTAGCTAGGAGTATAGGCACACAGCAGCATGCTTGGCTGATTTTTCATGGAGATGGGATCTTGCTATCTGGCCCAGACTGGTCTGGAACTCCTGAGCTCAAGTGATCCTTGAGCTTAAATGAGGCCTCCAAAAGTGCTGGGATTACAGGCATTAGCCACTGTGCCTGGCCCTCCCCCACCTTTGAGGTCAGGGATGGTCAGACCACTGCAGACATCCTGCTGCCTGGGGCCCTGACCTTACGCCGGCATTCACCCCCAGAACACACACCCCGGGGATATCTTTCGTGGCCTTGCCCTTGGCCAGTGCAGGCTGAGGTGACCCCTCTGCCCCCATTCCTCACCCAGGGCACCATCACCAAGTACAATCCACAGCAGGTGGGTCTGACCCACACCACGGAGCATGAGGAGGTCATCCAGATCGTGAAGAAGTAATGGCACCTGCGAGGCCTCCCGCCTACCTGTCTCATCTCCCTGGGGGCATCGGTCCTACTGGGATACACAAACACCTTGGGTCCTCCACTCAAGGCTCTCCAGGATTGGAAGCAGAGCTTAGTGGCTTCAAAGGCCCAGCTGACACCCTCCACAGCCTAAGGGGTGTCCTAAAGTGCCTCCGTCTTTTTGACCCTCCCAGGGCAGCCCCTGCGCAGCACAAAACCCCCAGACCCTGGGTCTACACACCTGGGCCAGGGACTTTTGAGTTTAGAATCTGTTTTCTAAGTCCCCAATTCTTCTGGCTCTCCTTTCTGAAATAAAGGATTGAAAACCATTCCTGTCCAGACTGAGAACACTTTGTAACCTTGCTGAACAGTAGCCAGGTTGAGTCAGGTGGGCACAGCTCAAGCATTGAAGGTAGCAGTGGGCCTGGGAGTTTAAGAGGGTGGAGCCTGGATCCCCAGGGCAGCCCCAGGCCATGGGTGGCAAGGAGAATGCAGGGTTCCTCATCCAGGCACGGGCAGGCTCTGCCCAGGGAGCTGGTCATGGGTGTCACGCCCAGACTGGCCCCTCCAGAGGGGCCTGGCTGCCAAGGTGGGCAGTATCCCAGGAGGCCTTTGTGACCATCTGGGTGGCAGGAAGGCTCCCCCATGAGAACAAGGTGGCTGACCATTTCCTGTTGCCTCAGAAGCCAGGAGCAGAGGGGCTGGCAGGGGCTCATTGAGTACCTACAATGTGCCAGGGACAGTGCCGGCCCCTCACGGTATTCTACTGTCCCTTGGAAGCTGGTGCAGGTTGAACAGTTTTTGAATGCAGAGCCTAGATGTAAGACCTGTGAGCAGCAGCGAAGGCTTCCTGGAGGAGGTGTGCCTTTTTGGAGGGATGCAGCAGGTTCTGTGAGGCTGTCAGGAGAGGTAGAGAGCTCCAGGGGGCCTCAGGCCCAGCTGGAGTATGGAGCAGGCCCAGGCCCAGGTCCTGGGCTGTTTGCAGCTCCGCTGTCAGCTGCTCAGTCCTTTCCAGAGACAAAACAGGAATAATAGACATCATTAAATATACATGTGGCTGGGGCCCCAGGCAGTTGACCTGGTGGGCCGGGCCTCCCTTCCCCATAACACCGAGCTGCTCTGCTGGGCTGATCGTGCTCCTGGGCCAGCCAGAGGACCCCCATGAGGCAGCATGCAGGCTAGGAGCAGGCCACGGGACCCAGATAAGGGGTCCCTAGCCTAGAGTCCTTGGGGTTGGCCACTAGCTACCCTCCCATCTCAGACTGCAGGAGCAGCAGCAGAGCTGGGGCCTTGCCCCAACTCACCTCGAGGCCCTTCGCTGCCTCACTTTGTTCATCTGTGAGGGGTGTGATGCCCATGCAGCCCCCTCCTGGTGATGGTGGGATAGCAAGACAGGCAAGGGCTCCTTGGCCCCTCTCCCAACAGCCCTGATGCCTGGCCATGAGGCCCTAAGTGAGGGTTTCTACCTGGGTGGTGGCCATTCCCACTTCCACTTTACAGGCAAGGGCTCTGGCCCTGGGTGAGGTGGGGAAGGCCTTGAGTTCACACAGTGTCAGGCTGAGTCTGGGCCTTGGGTTAGATCCAGGCCTGTTCTGTCCCCCTGGCTGGCTGACAAAAGGGGGCAAACGAGGCCAGAGGCTGGGGGGTCCTCAGGCAGTGAGGGCTCGGGTGAGTGGCTCCTGCCACTGGGCATGTTCCTGGGCTAGGTCTGTTGTGCGTGGGGGTCAGGCAGGCACTACAGCTCTGTTGTGTCCTGGGCTTTCTGGATCTGTGGGCAGGATGGTTGTATGGTCTACATTTGCATGTGAGAGTGAGCGAGAGATCATGCAACTGTGTATGCCCAGGTCAGTGTGAAGTGTAGTTCGTGGTGCCCTTAGGGCTGGGGAAGCTCCCTAAGACCCCCTCAAAGGTCCCAGACCCCTCCCCCAACCGGGGCGGGCTCCAGGCTTGGGCCTCACCCTGTCAGCCACCTTGTTCTCATCACTCATGCTCCCTGGCAATCACAGGCAGGGGTCTGCACCCTCACCCAGGCCATGCCCAGGCAGCAGAGCTGCACTCAGCTCCCAGCTGGCATCCCTGCAGCCTCCCAGGGGTCATCTGCCCGCAGCTTTAGAAGACTCAGGTACAAAGGAGCCAAAGAAATGCATATTATTCTGTCCCATGCTTGTGCATTCTCTCATTCTCCATCTTTCTTCCTCTCCAGCTTAGATTCCAGTTTTTTGTTCCAGAACCCTCCTTTGGCAAGCAAGAAAGCCAAGTCGAGAGCCTCTGCTTCCCACTCTGTCCTTCTCCTAGACAGCTCATCCCACCTCCAGCCTCCGTCTCACCAGACCTGGGTCCGAGCAGCCTTTTTGACTCTCCACTGCACTGTCCCATAGCCATCCAAACGCTCCGTGTCCCAGACCAAACATGGCGTTCCCACCCCACCCAGCCTCACCTCAGAGACACTCTGTGCACCCTCCAGCTGCACCAACCCAACCCCAAGTTCACCTGGCTCCCCCCTCATCCCAGCCCCATCTAGCCCCTCACCAGGGCCAGCATGTTTTACCTCATCCTGAATGTGCCCACTGGACTCCATCACAGCATGGTCCCAGCCACACCACTGTCCCCGCTCCACTCTTTTCACATGGTGGCCTGAGCTGCCTTTTCTCCTGCTTCCTAAGAAGCCATGTGAGCCAGTGGTTGAGACCGTGGACACTCTGGAGCCAGACTGCCCAGGCTCAACTCCACCTACAAGCTCTGTGGGCCCATGTCCTCCTCTGCAAAGTGGGAAGAATAATCACACCCACTTCAGGAGGTTGTAGTGAGTTGAGTTCTGTGTGGCCTGGCAGTTCTGAACACAGGCCTTGCCGTCACAGGTCCCATTGCTTCCTCACTGTGGGCTCTCCGCTGAGGGATCTAACCTGAGATCAAGCCCTTCATCTATAAAATGTGAAGAACAGTTGCTGTCCTACTTATGTGAGAATCTAGTGTGATACTTCAGAAAAGCATTTAGCACCAAGCCTGGCACACAGTAAACATCTGGAAATGTGGAACAGTGACCAAAGTCCCATCCCTTTTATGTTTGATTGGGCTAGTCCCTGCCTGCCACCCTGGACACCTCTCATTTCACATGCCCTCAATCACTCTGCTCTAGCCATAGACTGTCCCTGAAGCCCCTCTTACTACCTGGCATTTGCACATGCTGTTCCACTTGCCAGCAATACTGTTCCCTCTTCCATGTGATCAGCTCCCTCTTATCCTTATCTTGGTTCAGGGTTACCTTGTCAGGAGAATCTTCCTGGACCTCCAATGCAGTGTTCGCCCATCTGGGGTCATGCCCTGACCTTCACAGCTCTTCTTATTGGTGTGACTCTTTGTTTAAAGCCTGCATCCAGGATAGGCATGGTGGTTCATACCTGTAATCCCAACACTGGTAGGCTGAGGCAGGAGTAGTGCTTGGGGGCAAGGCGTTCAAGACCAGCCTGGGCAACTTAATGGGACCCTGTCTCTAGAAAAACTGAAAGCAATAGCCAGGTGTGGTGGCACACACCTGTGGTCTCAGCTGCTCGGGCAGCTGAGGTGGGAGGATTGCGTGAGCCTGAGAGCTCAAGGCTGCAGTGAGCTGTGATTATGTTACTGCACTCCAGCCTAAGCGACGGAACAAGACCCTGTCTCAAAAAACAAAAACAGAAAACAAAGTCTGTGTCCCCTACAACGCAGGGAACTTCATGAGAGCAGAGATCAGGTTGGCTTTCACTCCACTCTGCCAACCCTGAGTGCCCTGCATAGTGCTTGGCACATAACACATGCACAACTAATGCACAGCTAATATTTAAAGAATCAATAAATGAGAGACTAGTAGCCTGACACCCGCTCTGTGCCTGCACAGAGGTCAGGGACCCTGAGAGGGAGGCAGGACCTGGAACCTACCAGAGAAGGGGCAACCTCAGCTGACTTCTTGCCCGAGGCCCCAGAGACCAAGAGGGGTCAGGTGGGCAGGACTTGCTGCCAGCAGTCACCCAGACCACCTCACTCAGAGCAGACAGGCAGAGGCCTGTAGCAACGATGTTGGCAGTCATAACAGCTGCTTACCCAGGCCAGCCACTGTGCCCGGCTCTCCACCATTTCATGTAATGCCCAGGCCAGCCTTGGTAGGGGAGGTATCTACACTCACGGATGAGGAGACTAATGCTGAGGCTGCATGACTTGCTATGGGTCAGATCCAAGTGAGGAATGAGACCTGACCCAGAGCTCTGAGCCGCGGGCCTCCTCATCCCCTGGGCTAGAGCTGGGCTTGCCTCTCCGAGTGGCAGGTCTTCATCTGGACAATGGGGTTTTGCAGGGGAAAGATGCCTGCCTGCGGGCTTGAGGCATGACTTGGGCAAGTCCCTAGACAATGGTGGCCTCTCAGCCTTTCTTTCTTTTTTCTTTTTTTTTTTTTTTAGGAGAAAGAGAATAATATTTATTGGGCATGCCATACACCAAGTTAGATTTTTTTTTATTATTAATAGCACCAGTATCTCTGAACCTGATTTATTTTTTTATCTTTTTATTGCATTTTAGGTTTTGGGGTACATGTGCAGAACATGCAAGACATCTGCATAGGTACACACATGGCAGTGTGTTTTGCTGCCTTCCTCCCCTTCACCCACATTTGGCATTCCTCTCAGCCTTTCTTCTGGACAGACAAGGCTCCCTGCTTGGGGCAGACAGAAAGTATGGCTCTGGGAGGTGCTCCTGGTTCTGAAGAGCCAGCCCTGCCCCACTTGTCCCCAGCAAGTCTTCTGACCTCTCTCTGCCTCACTTTCAACAAATGTTACGTGGCTGTGGGGGTGGAGTTGGATCTGGGACATCTCAGGCCCTGACATTCTTCCTGAGAGCCTGTCTAAAGTGGTGTTTCCACTCACTGTCTCCAATTTCTTTTTTTCCATTTTCACATTTACAGTGTTGTGGTGGGTGGGGACAGTGTCTCGCTCTGTCTCTCAGGCTGGAGTACAGTGGCGCAACCTCGCCTCCCGGCACCCTCCACCTCCCGGGTTTAAGTGATTCTCCTGCCTCAGCCACCACACTGTGCACGCCTTTAGCTGGGATTACAGGTGTGCACCACCACACCCAGCTGAGTTTTGTATTTTTTAGTAGAGATGGAGTTTCGCCATGTCGGCCAGGCTGGTCTTGAGTTCCTAGCTTCAAGTGATCCACCTGCCTCGGCCTCCCAAAGTGCTTGGACTACAGGTGAGAACCTCCATGCCCAGCCCACATTTATACTTTTAAATGTGACATTTTTGTTTGTTTTTTGACTCAGAAATGCACTGATATGGATCAAAAATCAAACTAATGTAGAAAGATTTATAGGGAGATAACCATTCTCATTAATTTCTTGTGTAGCTTTTGTTGTATTTTTTTTTGAGACAGAGTCACTCTGTCACTCGAGCTGGAGTGCAGTGGCATAATCTCAGCTCACTACAACCTCCGCCTCCTGGGTTCAAGCAATTCTTATGGCTCAGCCTCCTGAGTAGCTGGAACTACAGACACACACCATCATGCCTGGCTAAATTTTGTATTTTAGTAGAGACGGGGTTTCATCGTGTTGCCCAGGCTGGTTTCAAACTCCTGAGCTCTGGCAATTTGCCCACCTCAGCCTCCCAAAGTGCTAGGATTATGGGCTTGAGCCTCCACACCCAGCGCTGAATTTCTTTTATTTGTTTTGACACAGGGTTTTGCTCTGTGTCAGAGTCTGGAGTGCAGTGGCGTGATCACGGCTCACTGCAGCCTCAAATCCTGGCTCAAGCGAATCTTCCACTTCAGCCTCTTGAGTATCTGGGCCTACAGGCACTTGCCAACACTCCCCACTAATATTTTAGTTAGTTTGTTTTTTAGAGACACGGTCTCATATTGCCTAAGCTGGTGTCAAACTACTGGGCTCCTCCCATTTCAGCCTCCCAAAGTGCTGGAATTACAGGCATGAGCCACAGCGCCCGGCCTAATGATTCTAAAATTAATATGGAAATGCAGAGAACTTAGAATAGCCAAAACAATGCTGAAGAAGAACAAGACTGGAGAGCCAACCACCACGAAGTCATCTCCTTTGAATATCCCATTCCTCATTGAGGGTGGCTCTCAGCAGCAAATAACTCATCAATCACTTTCTCCATATTGTTGTATATTAATTTCTCTCAACGAGGCAGTAAGCAACTTAAAAGCATATTCTAGTCACAAACACCTCTTCAGTAGTAAGGCATAGTGCTTAAAATCCAAGACTCTCCAGGCAGATGGGCTTCATGGCCCCGTTTCTGTATTTATTATCTAACTGACTCTGGCAACTTTCTTCTCTCTGGTTAGTTTCTCCATCTGCGACATGGGGCAGCAGTGATAACGGTGTCCACGTAGAGTGCCTATGGAGCTTAACTGAAATAAGAGTGCCTGGCACACAGTATCTACCTACTTAATTATTGTGTTTTGAATAAACTGACTCCGAGATCAGAAAGCAGGTAGTTACTGAGATTAGGTTGATTGGCACAGGTTAACCTTCACCTTTGACTATAAAAATTCCATTCTGAAACACACTACAAGCTTTGGTTAAGTTTACTTAATTAGAGTGTTTGGAGCAACGTAGTAAGATACAGTAGTTGTAGTCAAAGTTATTTTTCAGAAAATGACTTGAGACTAGGCTGAAAGCCCTCAATCTAGTGTTAAGGAGCATCTCCTAATATACTGCCTGAATGTGTATTCCCCACTGGGACTCAAGCCCGGACAGATAGTCCAATAGACATTAAAAGGTTGCCTGTCAACGATATTGAGCCTTGGGCCCTGGCTCACGCCTGTAATCCCAATGACTGGCTAACTCAGGAGGATCCTTTGAGGTCAGGAACTGGAGACCAGCCTGGGCAACACAGCAAGACCTCCTCTCTACATAAAATAAAATAGCTGGGCATGGTGGCACACACCTGTGGTCCCAGCTACTCCGGAGGCTGAGGTGAGAGAATCGCTTGAGGCCAGGAGGTTGAAGTTGCAAGGAGCCGAGATCAAGCCACTGCACTCCAACCTGGGTGATAGAGTGAGACCTGACTCAATGAATGAATGAGAATGAATGAATGAATGAATGAAGATATTGAGTGTTTCCTGTTCCCGGAATTTCTGGTTTGTAAAACTACCTGGGGCCGAGCACAATGGTTCACGCCTATAATCCCAGCTCCTTGGGAGGCTGAGGTGGGCGGATCACCTGAGGTCAAGAGTTCAAGACCAGCCTGGCCAACATGGTGAAACCCCATCTCTACTTTAATAAAAATAAAAAAATTAGCTGGGTGTGGTGGCAGGTGCCTGTAGTCCCAGTCACTTGGGAGGCTGAGGCAGAAGAATCGCTTGAACCTGGGAGGTGGAGAGATGGCGCCATTGCACTTCAACCTGGGAGACAGAGGGAGACTCTGTCTCAAAACACACACACACACCCCCGGCAGTGGGTATTATGGCAGAAGAAACTAAGGCTTTGCGAGGTTCCCGACGGGGAGTCCGCAGCGCGGTGGGGGCGGGGGCGGCCAGACCTCGCGCCTCTGGGCTGTGCTCCTGAGCTCCCGCAGCCCGCGGTCCCAGCGAGGCCTGGGCGTGGAGCGCGGCAGCCGCAGACCCCCGGGAAGACAGGGATTCAGGGTCCTCAGGTGTTTTTAGGCTCCTGCTCGCCTAGTGACCGAGGGGCTGGCTTTCTCCAGGCCGAGAAGTGTCTCCGGGTTCCCAGAAAGGTACCTAACCGGTTAGAAAAGAGGAGACCCAGCCCGGCGCGGTGGCTCACGCCTGTAATCCCAGCACTTTGGGAGGCCCCGGCGGGCGAATCACGAGGTCAGCAGTTCGAGACCAGCCTGATCAACATGGAGAAACCCCGTCTCTACTAAAAATACAAAATTAGCTGGGCGTGGTGGTGTATGCCTATAATCCCAGCTGCTCTGGAGGCTGAGGCAGGAGAACTGCTTGGACCCAGGAGGCAGAGGTTGCAGCGAGCTGAGACCACACCATTGCACTCCAGCCTGGGTGACAGAGCGAGACTCCATCACAATCGGAAACGGAAAGGGGAAGGGGAAGGGGAAGCGGAAGGGGAAGCGGAAGGGAAAGCGAAGGGAGACCAGGGGGATGAGGGGAAGAGGCCGGCGCTGCCCGGCCCCGCGCGTGAAGGAAACAGCCCGAGGCCCCGCGGGTCCGGCCCTGAGAGGAAGGAGGGCGCCTGCGCTCCCGCGGGGGCCGGCGGACTTTCCTCCCCGCCCAGCGGCCCGGGGCGGGCTTTTCGGCTGCTCCTCATAAGCAGGCGGCTTCGGGTCTCCGGGACAGGTGGGTGCGGAGCGCAGCCGCGTCGTGCTGGGCGTTCGGGGCCTGCGCGGACCTCGCCGCGGCCGCCGCAAAACCTGCCCCGCGCCCGCGATGTCCCGGCAGCTCCGCGCGGCGGCCGCGCTCTTGGCGTCCCTGGCGGGTGAGTGGCGCGGGGCTTCCCGCGGTGGCCCTGCCGGGTGGGTCCCCTTCAGCTAACGCGCCCTGGAGCCGCCGCGCTACAGGACGGCCTGCGGGTGGGGACACGGGGCGCGGCTAAGGGCGTCGCGGCTGGACCCTGTTTTCCGTGAGTTACTCAGAGCAGGTGTCAACTCCAAAGACGGTAACATTGTCCCTCGCTCCCAACAGGGTTCTGGGCGCCTTCTCAGGGATTGGATTTGAGAGATGGACACCTGAGCCAGGGCTTGGGAATGGGGGTCTTGGCTTTGGTGCCCCGGAAAAGCGGTCCTGAGGTGCCTTCCTCCACATCACATGGGGTCTGACAGATTGTGCCATTTCAGAAAGGTGTAGGACAGAGTCTCAAAGACTTTTTTAAATTTATTTTTATTTATTTTTTTATTATTATTATTATTATTATTATTATTATTTTGAGACAGAGTCTCACTCTGTCGCCCAGGCTGGAGTGCAATGGTGTGGTCTCAGCTCACTGCAACCTCTGCCTCCTGGGTTCAAGCAATTCTCCTGCCTCAGCCTCCCGAGCAGCTGTCGGGACCACAGGTGTGCCCCACTACACCCGGCTTTTTTTTTTTTTTTTTTAGAGTCAAGGTTTCACCGTGTTGGCTAGGCTGGTCTCGAACCCTTGACCTCAGGTGATCCACCTGCTTCGGACTCCCAAAGTGCTGGCATTACAGGCTTGAAATGCCATTGCATCCAGTTTTTTTGTTTGTTTGTTTGTTTTGGTTTTTTTGATGATCATTGTACTTCCCATCCCAGATGCTGTCTGGGACGCTGAGTTTTTGCTTATTTTATGTTCCGACCCTCCACTTTCACCAGAGCTTGTCCCCTTAGACGTTGAGTCCTCCTGGGTGCTGCGGTTCTGTTCCTGTGAGGAGGCTTACTGGTCATGAGAGAACTGCCTCCGTCCGCACCGCCCAGCTAACTGGCTCAGGCAGGGTGTGCGGTGGCCCTTGCTTGTAACGTGAATGCCAGGGATGTTACGGAAGCGGTGGGAAGGGTCACGCCAGCTGTCCTCACTGAGGCAGTTCTCCCTGTGCCACGCTTTCAGACTTACAGTTTCAGGTTCCCTTAGGAAACAGAAGAGGAAGTCATCATTATGCTTCACAGGGCAAGCTATTAAACAAGCAGAAAATCTCAGCCTCGCGGTAACCCACAGAGACCGGTCTGTGAGCGTTGGTTGGATGGATGGATAGGTTCAGAAACTGATTTATGTAGACAGGCCAGGTGAGGTGGCTCAGCCTACAATCCCAGCACTTTGGGAGGCCGAGGCGGGTGGATCACTTGAGGTCAGGAGTTCAAGACTAGCCCCGCCAACACGGTGAAACCATGTCTCTACTAAAAATACAAAAATTAGTTGGGCATGGTGGTGTGCACCTATAATTCCCAGCTACTTGGGAGGCTGAGGCAGGAGAATTGCTTGAACCTGGGAGGCAGAGGTTGCAGTGAGCCGAGATCATGCCAATGCACCCTTAACCTGGTGACAGAGTGAAACTCTATCTCAAAAAATAAATAAATATATAAAAATAAAAACACAGTGAGTATTGACAACCACAAGGGCAATTGGAGGGACAATGCCCACATAACCCATTCCTTTCTGAGCTGCTAATTCTCAGAGGTGAGCTGGGTGAAGGGTGCATGAGAGGTTTCTTCCTCAGAGGTGTGCTAGGTCCCAAGGCAGGTCAGTGTTGCATGGCCATCGTGGGGTCGCACGGAACTGGATTCAAAGCCTTGCCCTGACCCTTACTGTCAGGGAGGCCTTGTTCATGTCACCCAAGCTTTCAGGTGCTCAGTTCTCTCACTGAAAAATGGGGAGAATAATATCCTCTGCTGGGAGCACGCGGGAAACAAATGAGGTGGTGCCTGGAAAGCAGCTGCAGCGATTCTCTCGGTGATGTCAACCCACTTCTCCTGGGTGTCTCCAGTCCCTCTCCCCATTCACCTCTCAGCCTCCTGCCCATGAGTCCCTTCCAGCTCCTGCAGTGATTTTCTCAGTGATGTCAACCCGCTTCTCCTGTGTCTCTCCAGTCCCTCTCCCCATTCACCTCTCAGCCTCCTGCCTGTGGGTCCCTTCTTCACTCAGTACAGGCTCATCAGCACACAGTAATAGCAATGATGGCCATGGCTGACTGGCACTTTCTAGGTGCCAGGCTCTGTTCTCAGTGCTTTCATCCACAGAACAGCTTTGTAAGTTCTGCTAGCATCTCCACTTGACTTGTGAGGAAGCAGAAGCACAAAGAGGTTAAATAACTTGCCCATGGTCGCATAGCTAGCTAGTGACAGAGTCGAGCTTCGAACCAGAGTCTGTGCCCACAGCAGCTAACCCGTGTGCTTTATTCATGCACCTACTTACCTATAACTTATTTAGTCTCTTAAGAACCCTGAGAAGTAGATGCTATTCTTATCCCCATTTTACAGATGAGGGTACTGAGGCACAGGCAGGTTAGAGAATTGTTCATGGTCTCCCAGTTAGTGAGTAGCATTTCTTGACCGGCATTCAAGACGTCTGGCTTTGGCTGTGTGCAGTGACTCATGCCTGTGATCTCAGCACTTCGGGACTCTGAGGCGGAAGGTCGCTTGAGGCCAGGAGTTTGAGACCAGCCTGGACAACATAGTAGACTGTGTCTCAAGCAAAACAAAACAAAAACCAAGTCTGGCCTTGGGGTTCAGGCTCTGTACTGCGTGCAGGCCCCAGAAATACTTGTCAAATTGGAAATGAGAAAAATCATCAGAAAGTTGTTGTTGTTGTTTTGAGATGGAGTTTCACTCTGTTGCCCAGGCTGGAGTGCAGTGGCGCGATCTTGGCTCACTGCAACCTTCGTCTCCCGGGCTCAAGTGATTCTCTGGCCTCAGCCTCCTGAGTTGCTGGGATTACAGACACCCACCACCAAGCCCGGCTAATTTTGTATTTTTAGTAGAGATGGGGTTTCTCCATGTTGGTCAGGCTGGTCTCAAACTCCAGACCTCAGGCGATTCACCTGCCTTGGCCTCCCAAAGTGCTGGGATTACAGGCATGAGCCACTACGCCTGGCCAAATCATCAGAAAGTTTTGCTAGGAGAGACAGAACTTTTGGGTAAACTCTCTGAGTAATCTTTATCCAGTTAACTTGCTTCCCTGATCTCAAATTTTTCCCCCAGAAAATGGGGGGATTTAAGTTCATATCAGTTAAGTGTACATTCAGTTACATGTAAGAGACAAGCCCAGAATAATAGTAGATTAAACAAGAGAGTTGCTTGTCACACTCTCACATGAAAACATTTCCAGAGAAATTCAGTGTGGGGTGCTCCACTCGGGACCTGTCATACTATATGTCAGTGTGGGGGTGCTCCACTGAGGACCCGCCATTCTATATGTGAATGTGGAGGTGCTCCACTGGGGATCCACCACCCTATATGTGAGTGTGGGGGTGCTCCACTGGGGACCCGCCATCCTATATGTGAGTGTGGGGGTGCTCCACTGGGGACCCGCCATCCTATATGTGAGTGTGGGGGTGCTCCACTGGGGACCCGCCATCCTATATGTGAGTGCGGGGGTGCTCCACTGGGGACCCGCCATCCTATATGTGAGTGTGGGGGTGCTCCACTGGGGATCCGTCATCCTATATGTGAGTGCTGGGGTGCTCCACTGGGGCCCATCATCCTGTATGTGAGTGTGGGGGTGCTCCACTGGGGACCCACCATCCTATGTGTGAGTGTGGGGGTGCTCCACTGGGGACCCACCATCCTATATGTGAGTGTGGGGTGCTCCATTGGGGATCCGTCATCCTATATGTGAGTGTGGGGGTGCTCCACTGGGGACCCACCATCCTATATGTGAGTGTGGGGGGCTCCACTGGGGACCCTCTATCCTATATGTGAGTGTGGGGGTGCTTCACTGAGGACCCGCTATCCTATATGTGAGTGTGGTGGTGCTCCACTGGGGACCCGCTATCGTATATGTGAGTGTGGGGGTGCTTCACTGCGGACCCGCCATCCTGTATGTAACTTCTACCTTCAAGTCTCCTAATGGTTCCACATGTCTGCTGAAGCTCCAGCTGTCACATACAAGTTGCAGACTGGCCAAAGGAGGAAAAACAGAAGGGCTGTAGAAGGGGGCCACACAGGCGCTTGAGCTGCCTCTCCCAGCCTTCCCAGAAGGCCCACAGGAGCTTATCACTTCTCTTGCTTTTGCTGAACCTCAGTCACATGCTCCCACCCAGCCAGAAAGGAAGCTTAGACATAGAGCTCTTTATTCCAGGCAGCAAATGCTCAGCGGAAGCTTGAGGCTCTGTTAGAAAGAAGGGGAGGCTGAATTTGGGAAGAGTCGGCCAGCAGGCTGTCGCA